CTGAGGCCTGACAAAACAATCTAGCATCTTGCCTTACCTGTGCTTGGGGATCTAAATAGTTTCTTGGCCTAGTAACATGTCTTGCCCAATAGGAATCCCTGCTCCAAGATTCTCCATCGACTGCTGCTGGCTTCTTCCTGGTATTCTAACTGCCACAGAACACTATTTTTATAAGTGCTGCTCAATCCCAGGGAGTCATCTGATAACTACTAGCTACTCCTTCCAATATTCCTATAGTAAAGGAACTTTGCAAACCATTTTCCATTATGCTTCGCATGAATTCTTTAAAAACCTGATAAGGCAAACATTCGTGCACAGGTTGTTGACCTGCTGAATAATAGCTGCAAAAACTCCAAAGTCTCCAGCTTTCCTGGCTTCTCTAAGACAGCCCTCTATAGCTGGGTGTGGAGAGGCTGAGGAGTCCTCCACAAAAGGTGGAGGAGGGGAGGAGAGGCTTCCTCCTTTGATGACCATGTAGGGACGGTTGGCTCTGGAGTCTCCTCCGAAGGGGAGAATGGAGCCACCCTGCTGGGACTGATTTCCTTAGTTAGTGGCTGCAATGCTGAAAATGCCAGTTGCCATAAAAGAAGGGTTGAAAAAGTGCACCCTAAAGGTTTCCCCAACTTTGAACCACACATCAGAATCCAGCGTGCCCTCCTTAGGGAACATGGGCAGTGCTCCTGCATGTCCCTCAGAAGCTGCAAGAGCTTCTGCTCCCATACGGGGCATTGAGTTGCTTTCAGCAGCTGTTGTAAGACTCTCATAAAGTCACTGATCTTTAGAAAGATCATCTCGTCATCTCGACCCCATGCTGTCTTACTGGAAACCCTTCAGGACACTTGGGATGTTGGGCAGGTGTCCCAATCCATGCCCAACTGACTCGAGTTATTTCAGCGTACTTTTACTTTGATCTGGATTGCCAATTTCCCTTCTAATTCCCTTTGCATACTGTTAAGTTGCTGGTCACGTTGCTGTGTGTTCGAGTCACATCAGGGTCACTACTTGCCAACTCAGCTTGCCGGGTCATCGCAACGCAATGAACTACAAGCAGACTTGGCTTGGAGAAGGAGGATGGCTTGGAGAAGGGGGAGCATCGCAAGGGAGCAAATGCTCCAGATCTCTGGATGCAGCCCAATTTATATGCCAAGGTTCCCTAGGCAACATGGTGTTTTAGGTAATTAAGTCCTTGAGATCGCATCTCTGTTGACCTTACAGCCAAGCTCAGCGTACTTCCTGTTCCAGCTGTCTGGCTGTTTTCAGCAGAGATACATAACAAACACATTCACACTTGGGTGATAAGCCTCTTGGGCTTTCCAAACCCAACATGCATATCTTATCTATTCACATGTATACTTTGATCCTTGGCTGGCCAGGCCACGAGAATGCATGCCTCAACGTTATATTTTGTTCATCCACCAAACCTCCAACCTTACAGTCCATGGCTGGGAGAACCTAAATATTCCAGCAGACACTTTCTTCAGTCAGCTGAGAGAGGGGCAGGGGTCTCATGTGGGTCTGTGCAGAGCTGCCACACGTCTGAAGCCTGGTTCGGAAACGTGAAGGTCATCCAGAAAGGCCAGGCCTAGTTACAGAGGCACATGTGCAATGGACACGAGGCGGCCGTTCTCTAACCTGCAGGTGTGGAATGATGCATTTTACCAAGCAGCTCTGGTGAATCATCTGTGGGTGGTCTGAGCACCACACTTTGAGAAACAGTGCTCAGTGACATGGGGCTGCAAGCTCATGTGACACCACAGCTGTGCAGTGTCGGGACTTGAAGACAACATAGCCATCCAGGGGGAACCAGACCTCCAGCGCCTAAGTCAGCTTGTTTACCCTAGGGGCAGGGAGGAGGCGTTTCTCCTCAGGGGGTGCGCATGTCTTGGAGCCATATGTGACAGTCTCAGCACTGGGGAACTGAAATGGAATTACTGGCCCTAGTCGGTTTTGCTCAGCGGTTAGAGCATCGGTCTGTGGTCCGAAGAGACCCGGGTTCGGTTCCCGCTAAGGGCATGCACCTCGGTTGCAGTTTGTCCCCAGCCCTGGTTGGACTGTGCGGGTGGCGACCACTCGATGTGTCCCTTTCATGTCGATGTTTCTCTCTCTCTCACTCCCACTTTATCTGAACAAAATATCAAAAAATATCGGGTGAGGATTAAAAAAAATATTTTGGCTGACATACTTTGTAATTCTGAAGGGAAATTAGATCTCTGCCTTGGCATTTTATGTGGCAAAGGTGCGATGAGTCTTTTTGTCATCTGGTTCTGCAAAGTCTTGATGTAATGTTAAATTTCTCTTTCTCACAGTGCAGAGGAATGTAGCTTTCTCTCTGTCTTCTAAGTCTATAACTGAATCGATATCTCCAGTTTATCTCATTTGTATGAAAAATGATGTAAAATCAAAGCAAAAACTAAAATTTTACATTTGGAATAACTGCAGTGTCCAAGATTGTGGACTGCTTATAATACAGAATTTGAGGCGTTTGGACAGTAAGCATGCATTGCAGGAATTAAAAAATAAATAAATACTGCCATTCCTTTAAAAAAATTATTGTTTGCTTGTTTTGGAGACGGTTGCCTACAGATTGCATTTTTCTATGATCAAAAACACCATTCACTTTTCTACTAAGCACTGGAAAAAACCACTACAATTTAACTGACAAAAGTATTTAGATGAGTATCCCAGCAACAGAAATGGAGCTGTCTACAGCGCCTCCTCTCCACAGATACCTGCGAGAAGGAATGATGAAAAGGGCTGACCGCTCAGGTCTGCTCCTGGTTAACACCCGACTGACACCCACGCAGGGAGGAAGTGGGCAGGAAGGAGCGAGGCACCGTCAGGAGGTCGTGGGTTCTGAGCGAGGCTCAGCGACGACTAGAATTTGGGGAATGACAGCGAGGAGGACGAGCGTGTTTAGGAAATGTCCCTCCAGCTCCAGGCCGAGACGTGCTGTCCCGAAGCTGGAAAAGAGCACACCTGCGCCTGCGCGGACACCAGAGGCCCTCGGTCTGGAGCCGCCCTTCAGGGCGGACCCCGCCTCGCCCCGCCCAGTTCTCCAGCTCCACCCCCGGCCGCGGTCCAGGACTAGAGCGGGTACCAGGCTGGACGACACTTGAGGTCCTTCCCCTGCCGGCTGCGCAGGCGCGTTCTCGCTCATTCACACTCGTGCACACGCACTCACAGTCACACAGGCGCACCGCCCGCCCTCACCCGCTTCTCCTCCTCAGGACGCAGCCCCAGCCCGGGACGCGGGGCTCTGCGGCTCCTACGGTGACAGCAGCCAGGCCCGCGGGTCAGCGCAGTCTGGCATCCGCCAGGATGCGTCCAAGGCGCCCCGAGAACGTGCATTGGAAAACACAGCGCCTGTCGCCCCCGTTACCACGACAACGCGTGCGCATGCGCACAGGCGGCCAAACCGCTGGGCTCCGCGCACCGGCCACCCCCGCTCCCACCCTGCCGCTGCGTATTTCACTTGGGTGCTCTGGGTCACAGAAAGGAAATTATTTAATACACATTAATACTAATGTTATTTTTATATGTAGCTTTTCACTCACGTATTTTTTTCTGTAATGCGATGTGAGGTGGGATTCTTCTTATTCTTTCAAGGGAATAAGCAATTTATGCCCAAATAACTTTTCACAAAAATGAACTATTGCCTCCATATTGTATGCTAAAATATTAACATTCTTATCGTATCTTTGATGTCTAAAATTATGATTAACATATAATTTTTAACATTTTTTTGTTCTAATTCTTAATTTTTGTACCCCTGCTGAAAATAATGGTCTGTTACTTCCCAACCTAGTTATTCCCACTTTGCTTTTTCAAACCGATAGTCAACACACTCTTGGCAGTTCTTAGCAGGGCGAGGCCACGTGGAAGGCTGCTCTCTCCCACAAAGGGAAGGCAGTGATGGGGCCACAGAGAGGTCAACCTTCAATCCCATCCGGGCACAAAAACACACTAGAACAAACTATAAACAAGTAAAATTCTTTATTTAAAGTATCTTTCTCTTATAGGGAAAAAAAGATGTTTCCTTAAAGCACATTTGAAAGAGCTCCTCACCTTTGAGAAGTAATTACATTTAGAGCCGCAAAACTAAAGACTGTCTCTTCACACATTCGTTCTGCTTTGGGCACTGTCCAGAGCTGCTGTGAATTTTCAGCCCCATCAAGTCCAACTTGGCTCTCCATGCTGCTATAAACATGGATTTTAAAAGCTAAGGAATTTCACGCACAGCTCACCAACAGTGCACAATTGGTCAACAAAAATGGTCTGAAAACAGGGCGCAGTCACCTACTCAGATGCAGACGACCTGGCTTTTTCTTGATCACCTGAATCTGAAGTGTGCCAAAGATCCAGTGCCAAGGACTAGCAAACTCCCAGGTTTTTCTCTTGAAGACTTATTTAAAACATTAACTACTGAGCATCTGGAATTCTCATATATTGCTGATGAAAGTGAATGGTAAAAAACACAGACATTAGTTTGAAGAAAGCAGAAGGGGGGTGGGAGTGGAAAGGAGGGGATCACTGGAGAGAAAGGGGGATATGTCTATCTGTAATACTTTCAACAACAAAAATAATAGAAATGGTAAAACCACTTTGAAAAATAAAAAAATAAAACATTAATTATCTTGGTTTCTGATTTCTAAAAACAAATCGATGACAAAGGCTGGCCCAGAGAGTGCAATCAGCTGGCAGCTCAGAGCAGGCCCACAGCTAACAGCCTTCATGCCCTTTCATCAGGAGGCCTCATGCTCTGAAATAAACATTAATAGTCTGGCCAATGTGACTCAGTGGTTGAGCGTTGATCCCATGCACCAAGAGGTTGTTGGTTCGCTTCCCCGTCAGGGAACATGCCTGGGTTGCAGGCTCGATCTCTAGTAGGGGGGGTGCAGGAGGCAGCCAATCAATGTTTCCATCTCTCCCTTCCTCTAAAAATCAGTAAAAATATAATTAAAAAAAAAAAAAAGCATTAATATTTTATTCTGAAATCCAAGTACACAATTCACAAAATAAAATCACAGTATTTTCTTCTCTTCTAATGGTCCAGTATATTAATTCTTCCATATTAAACCTGACTTTCCAGATAGGTAGAAATTATATTTGCAAATCTCTAGCACAAAGTTACTCAGAACATCTAAGATTTGTATTTGAAAAGCATCTCACAATATTACATCTAAAGTGCACAGAAGACCCCAGTGATCACTAGGAAATCTACCACAGTCCAGTTTTTCCAACCCAAGGAGATCCAAACTTTGGGGAATGATATGGCCACCTTGTGCTGCTGCTCTGAAAAATATTCGATCAAAACGATGCTTACAGGTAGCACGTATTCCAAGGTTAGAGTTCATCTGTGTATCCCAAGTATACTGGCAATGCTTAGGTTTGCCCAAAAACTCCCAGACATCTGAAATGTTGCAGGGTAAACCACCACATTTGGTCACCTGAAAAAGAAAACTGTAAGATTGAGGTTTTCCCCCTAAATTAAAAAGGTGTCTTCACTATTATGTCTAAGTACATTTCAAATAAAAATGTCACAAGTTACTAACACACAAATGCAAAACCAGATGTTACAAGTAACCACATTATAAAGTGTATTTTGCTGCGTGATGTATGAGTAGGTAATACAAGAATATGAAGATAGCAGAGAAGTCTGGGATTTGCCCCCTTCTCTTCCTAACTGCAGGTGTCAGATAAAATTCAGAAGTCGAGAAACCCACACCTTCAGTTATTGCTATTCGTTTTTAAAAATGAACACTAGTGAAAAAAGGCAAAACTATCCCTCTACTTTTGTCTATAAATTTAGAAGATGCCATTTATATGATCCAATAACGTCATTGCCTTCAGTTCACTTGACATTTTTAGTATTAATTCTTCCTTCTTCCATTCACATTCCAGGAATGTTTTAATTAAGGTAAAATATACATAAAAAGGACCATTTTAACATGTACAATGGCGTAAGTACACCCACATAATTGTGCAGCCATCACCACAAACCACCTCCAGAATATTTTTGCTCATTATTTTCAACAGGTTGCTGTGGGTTTTTTGAAGAATTTTTATTTTATTTATTTATTTATTTAATCCTCACCCGAGGCTACTGTTTTCCATTTTATCTTCAGATAGAGTGGGTTAGAGAGAAGAGAGAGATCTATCAATGTGAGAGAGACACATCGACTGGGGATGAACCGCAACTGAGGTACCTGTCCTTGACCAGAATCAAACATTTTAATACAGATCAGCTTGTCTGATTCATTTCAGCTCCTTCACCACCAAGCCTGGGGCAGAGACTGTTTCAGTTTCTCAGCCTCTTTGTGATGACCAAGGTATCGGCTGCATCAGGCTTTAAACTTCATATTATGCCTATTTTCCTTGATGTAACAGATCTGGCACCCTCTGCCTTGCTGTGAGCAAGAAGCCCCTCATGGACTTCCAGTCAGGATGGCGGGTAGGTAAACGCAGTATCACGTCCTCCCACAACCCATCAAAGTTACAACTAAACTACAGAACCAACATCATTCAAAACCGCCTGAAATCAAGCTGAATGGAAGTCCTACAACTACGGAATTAAAGGAGCAGCCGCATCAAGATTGGTAGGAGGGGTGGAGGTGGACAGGCTGTTCCCACACCCATGTGTGGTGGATAAAAATCAGGGGGACACCCCGTCCCACACCAGGCACCCAGCTCAGGGTTCCAGTGCCAGGAAGAGAATCCCCATCACTTCTGGCTGGAAAAACCAGTGGGAACTGAGGCTCAGGGAGGCTGAGGTGGCTGGAGCCCCAGGCAGCTCCTTAAAGGGCCCGCGCACGGACTTAACAGACTCACTCCCTCTAAGCTTGGAGGGGAGGCAGCTTGAGGGGCACCAGAGACCTACAGGGAAGAACTGAGCTGTTTGGCACTGGAGTGAGGGTTGTAGAGGGGGCTTTCTCCAGGACAGACGTGCTGTCAGAGGCCTTGGTTCCTTTGGTGAGCCCTTCCCTGAGGCGGCAGACAGCCACCATAACTGGGACTCCAGCAACCTGGCTCACACTGGTAGCCCCGCCCTGGTGATTCCCTGAGGCCCCGCCCCACCCAACTTTCAGGCCCACCCAAGCTGTTGCCAGTTGCTTAACTGTAGAATTGGCCTGTCTTGATCCTGCTTCAGGTTTTCCTAAATTCTTTCAAACAAACAGCATCTGGTCTCAGATAACCCCCATACCTCTCATTAAGTAACACACAGAAACAAACACAGGGAGGCAGCCAAAATGAGGAGACAAAGAAATATGTCCCAAATGAAAGAACAGAACAAAACCCCAAGAAAAGAACTAAGTGAAATAGAGATAAGCAACCTAACAGAAGCTGAGTTCAAAATACTACTTATAAGGATAATCAATGAACTTAGTGAGAACCTCAGCGAACTTAGTGAGGGCCTCAAGAGCATAAAAAAGGACCAGTCAGAAATGAAGGATGCACAGTCAGAAATAAAGGAGGTATTAACTGAAATAAAGAATAATTTACAGAGATTCAATGGTAGAGTAGGTAAAGCCAAGAAGCAAACCATCGATTTGGAATATTAGGAAGCAAAAAACGCCCAATCAGAACAACAAAAAGAAAAAAGAATCCAAAAAATGAGGATAGTGTAAGGAGCCTCTGGGACAACTTCAAGCGTGCCAACATTCGCATCTTGGGGGTGCCAGAAGGAGAAGAGAGAGAACAAGAAATCGAAAACCTGTTTGAAACAATAATGGCAGAAAACTTCCCTAACTTAGTGAAGGAAACAGACATACAAGTCCAGGAAGCACAGAGAGTCCCAAACAAGATGAACCCCAAGAGGCCCACACCAAGACACATCATCATCAAAATGCAAAAGGTTCAAGACAAAGAGAGAATCTTAAAAGCAGTAAGAGAAAAGCAGTTGGTTATCTACAAGGGAGTGCCCATTAGGCTGTCAGCTGATTTCTCAAAAGAAACTTTGCAGGCCAGAAGGGAGTGGCAAGAAATATTCAGAGTGATGAAAAGCAAGAACCTACAACCAAGATTACTCTATCCTGCAAAGCTGTCATTTAGAATTGATGGCCATATAAAGAGTTTCCCAGACAAGAAAAAGTTAAGGAGCTCATCACCACCAAACCGTTATTATATGAAATAATGAAGGGTCTTTTCAAAGAAAAAGATAAAATATATGAACAAACAAAATGGCAATGAATATATATCTATCGATGATTGAATCTACAAACAAAATGAACAGGCAGAACAGAAACATTCTCATAGATACAGAGAGCATTTTGTTGGTTGCCAGATGGGAGGAGGGTTGGGGGAATGGGTGAAAAAGGTGAAGAGATTAAGAAGTACAAATTCATTGCTAGACTGACAAACCTCAAAGGGAAAGGGGTTGGAGGGTGGGAAGAAATAAACCAAAGAACTTATATGCATAATCAATGGACACAGACAAGAGTGTGGGAAAAGGCAGGAGGGGTGCGGGAGTTGGGAGGAGGGGGTCAATGGGGGAAAATGAGGAACATCTGTAATACATTTAACAATAAAGATAAAAAAGTAAAAAATAATAAAAATATTTTTAAAAAGCCCTTCATGTCCTCGGTTTCCGAGGCTATGAGGCACAGAGTGCAGTAGCAAAGCCAGACGCGAAGGCGATGGACAGAAACAATCAGGTTGCTTTTCACTGTTGGCCTTCATTGTAAGAGTTCTTTTTTGTAAAAGTCCTCACCCAAGGATTTTTTTTTTTTATCAGATAGAGCAGGAGGGAGAAAGGGAGGAAGAGAAAAAGAAAGAAACACTGATGTGAGAGAGACACTCTGACTGGGTGCCACCTGCAAGACCCCAACCAGGGCTGGGGATGAACAGTAACTGAGGTACGTGCCCTTAGCGGGAACCAAACCTGGGACTTCTGGTCCGTGGGCTGATGCTCTAACTGCTAAGCCAAACTGGCCAGGGCAAGGAGGATATTTGTTTTTTAAGAGAGAGTGGAAGGGAAGGAGGCAGAGAGGGAGAAAGGAGGGAAGGGTAGGAGAGCGGGGGAGGGGGCAGAGAGAGAAACATCAACATGAGAGAGACACATTGATTGGTTGCCTCTGGCACGACCCTGACCAGGGCCAGAGATCAAACCTGCAACCCTTGACTGGAATCCAACCCTGACTTTTCTGTCCTCCGGCTGACACTCTAACCCCTAAGCCAAGCTGGCCAGGGCATAAGAGTTCTTTATATATTCTGAATATTAATTGCTTGTCAGATCTATGATTGGCAAATATTTCTTCCCATTCCACTGTCCTTTCACTCCACTGATACCCTCTGATGCACGAAGCTTTTAACTTTCATGACATCCACCTCATCTGTTTTTCCTCTGTTGTCTGTGCTTTTGGTATGATATCCAAGAAGTCTCTGCCAAATCCAGTATCATGAAGGTTTACCCCTGTTTTTTCTAAGAATTACATAGTTTTAGCTCTTACCTGTAGGTCTTTGATCCATTTTGAGTAAACTTTTATATAGGATGTAAAGTAAGGATCCAACTTTGGTTTTTTGCATATGGATATCTAGTTTTCAAACACCATTTGTTGAAAAGCAGGATTTTAAAAGTCATTCAGCCACTCACCCAGATACCAAGAAACAGCTGCCATAAGCAGATGTGCTAACAGGCCCACAGAAAGGCTTGTTCTACAATAACCTGTGCAGGACACAGTGGCCAAGGAGGCAGAGCCCCTCTTCCTGTCCTCGGGAGTCTGTTCCACTCCAGGGTGTCCTGACGTGTGTCCTCTCCAGCCCACGTCCTCCCCTCCTGGAGCTCGTGGTAGTGAACATGGGCAGAATCTCCATTCACGACCAGTCTGATGTGAACTCAGCTGGGGGGGGGGGTGAGGGCCATAAGGCAAGTTTACCATCTAATAAGTTCTAAGCCTCTAAAGGTCTGGAAAAACCTTAATGTGTCTCAAGTGAACTAAGGAAAAAGATTTGTTTCAGACTTGGTCTTTTTCTTCTCCTCACCTTGCAACTAGACCCCCAAATATATGACCTTTCCTAAACTCTCTCATCACTGCCTTCCCCAGGCCCCTTGTTCGCCCGCACTGTTTGTTCTGTGCTGTGTCACACACTGCATGTGTGCCCCCACTTATGTCACAGGCCCCTGCCTCTGCGGTCCCAGTGCTGGACACAGAACACAGCTACATAGTACCTGCTGGACTGCACCCACAAGGTCATGTGTACGAATCCAAAGGAACCTGAATTTGTTCCCACAGGAAGAACCTGCCCTTAAATATTGAACTGATGTTGCCACTCACTTCTTGATCCCTTAAATTTGTATCTCCCGCAAATATAACGGTGGCTGACTCTGGCGCCTCTTGCATTTTCTTTAAAACCACTTTAAACTGATTCATTCGTTCCTCAGCATGCCCTCTGGTGCTCTCCAAATGGGAAGTCATGAGGCAAAGTTCATTTCCCGACACACTCGCCTGCAACAGGACACATAATTGCAGCTGTTAAAAACATCCACTGATGATGAGCGCTGAGAACAGCATCAGCAGATTCTGCAACTGATTGCTATGCAGTGACTAAAGCAAAACCACCTCCTTAGCACTGTGCTTCTCCTTGCAGGCCGAGGAAGGCTGAGGTGCTACCCCAGCTCCCAAAGACTACTTAGCAAGCACCCACTAACACTTCCAGACCTACCTCACGTCACCTCCCCTGTGAGCCCTTCCTCAAGGTCCTCAGGCTCCCTCCTCTGTATTTTTACTGCATACTGGAAAGACTGTTTTTAAGTTCCCAGACTGAATTAAATCATAATTATTTGAAAACAAAGATAGCTCTTTTATTCACTGCAACATTATCAAGAGCCTGGCATGCAGGTACTCAAAAAGGTCAATTAATGAATGAATGAGAATCATTTACCATTTGCAATTATGATACCAACAAGGTAGGATTTTTCATTATTGAAACTAGTTGCCTGCAGATTCGAGTCCAAACTCTTTTCTGTTGAGCAGTCATGATCTTCTACAATCCGGATCCGACCTACTTGACCAACTTCTTGTCACACTACCCTTTCTGCACCCTCCACACCCAAATGAATACAATGCTCATTTGTACCCACGGAGAGCCTGATATCTATGCAAATCTTGGCATCTGCAACCTGCAGAAGTTTGCTCTTGGTGGTTCTGCCAGCTGGGTTGTCTCAATGCCTACCTCTTACCTATTTTTCAGGGCCTGAACCAAATACAACTTCCTTCATAAAACTTTTACTCAACAATCTAGCTAATCCCATCACACACACATAAAAATGCAGCTGTGTGTGATGACAGCTGTTAACTGGACTTACTGTGGTAATCATTTAACGATATAAATGAATACTGAATCGCTATGTTGTGTACCTGAAACTAGTATGAATGTTATGTCGATGACACCTCAGTTAAAAAACTATCTGGCTAAAAGTCATTTCTCCTTTCTCTACACTTCCAAGGCATATCCTTATGCCTCCCCCCTGGCGTTTATGCCTTTTCTTTCCTTTAGTTACTATATATTTAACACCTCTCCCTTCCGAACCTATAGACTCTATGAGAGCAAGGGCTACCTGACTCACTCTTAACACTGCTTTAGGAAGTGAATGTAGAATGTCAACAAACTCTTAAACATTCTTAGGAAAACATCTAAGGCATCAAGGATTTTACTTTTACAAGTTTGTCTGTGTTTGAAATTTGTATAAAAACTTAATTTACAAAATTCTTTAAGACTATTAAAAGAATGTATAAGGGAGAAGCAAATTTTTCTTTAAAAAGCAGTTGATTTTTAAAAATTACTCACGTGCACACACAAAAGGTTTCTCATCATTTTTGTATTTGGAAAAGGAATAATCTCTTGGCTTTTGAATTTCACTCTTGATTTCTTCAACATTATGGCCGTGTAATATCCTTCATTATGCCCTTCAAATATTTGTGGAAAAGAATTTAGGTGGAGAGGACAAGAGTATATGCAGTTTATCACAGGTTCCCCTACTGAAGATTTTATAATAAACAGATACTTAAATGGATCTCAATCCTAAAAGTAAATTATTATTTCAAAAGAGTTGAAGATGGCCAACCAAGTCCCTGTGTTTACCTGCCCCCAACCAAAATGTAACGCAAGTAGGGAAGAAATATAAAAATAAACATGACTCCACTTAAGTACCAAAAAGAGTTAGTGGTGCCAATAGGAAAAGAATGTTGAGACACTTCTGGAAGACGGAGCAGATGGGACTAAACTGAGGCAAGGCAGCATGCGCTTACTCCTGACTCTGGAGCACGGAGAACTCAGGGGAGGAACGGGAGATGCAGAAAGGTGCAGACCTGCGAGAAAGAGAACAGAAACCGAGGGCAGCGATGAAGGCTTCCAAGTTTTCAGAAAACCAAGTAGATGGAGAAGTGGTACCTGGTTTATCAAAACAGAGAGAAAGTGGAAAAAGAGGAAAAGGAAGATATGGGAGGAAGGGAAAAGAGAGGAAAGGAGAAAAAAAGGAAAGGGAAAGGGAAGGGCAGGGAGGAAATCAGGCAGGCTACAGAGGCGGCAGGTGGGCCGGAGAGGGAGACAGAGGAGGGAAGAATTTTCCAGAACCGAAGGTCACAAACCTCCAGACTGAAAGTTCCTACCAAGTGTTAGGACAATAAATAAAAAAAAAAAAGACCCAAAGAACACTAGGATTGAAAAGACCCTCGCCCTGGACGGTTTGGCTCAGCGGTTAGAGCATTGGCCTGCGGTCTAGAGAAAAGACCCTCAAAGCTTAAGGGGGAGGGGGAAGACAGGAATTAGTATGGCTTCAAACTTATGATCATCATTAATGGTGGTGGCCAATCGATGTTTCTATCTCTTGCTCCCTCTCCCTTCCTCTCTCTAAAAAAAAAAAATCAAGAAAGAAAAAACAAATTTAAAAAAATAATAACTGCCCTGGCTGGTTTGGCTCAGTAGTACAGCATCGGCCCACGGACCAAAGAGTCGCGGATTCAATTCCAGTCAAGGGCACATACCTGGATTGTGGTTCAGTCCTGGCCCTGGTTAGGGTCGTGCAGGAGGCAGCCAGTCAATGTGAGAAAGATGTTTCTCTTTCTTCCTCCCTTTCTCCCTCCCTCTCACTCTATCTGAAGATAAATGGAAAATAATATCCTCAGGTGAGGATTTAAAAAAAGATCATCAATAATGGAAACCGGAAAACACCGAAATAATACCTTCAAAATTCTGAGGCAAAATGACTTTCTACCTAGACATCTATGTCCAGCCAAACTATCAACCAATTATGGGTACAGAAAACAGGCATTCCCAAATATGCCGGGATTCAGAAACTCCACTCCCTATTGCCCTATGTCTTAGAAAGTGATCGCAGAATGTGCTCCAATAAAATGAGGACATAAACCAAGAAGAGGGAGAGCACGGGATTCAGAAAACAAGAAATCCAAAAAAGAAGAGAGGCAAAAAGAATCCCCAAGAGAATGTAGAAAACTCATCCCACAAAGAGAGGGAAAGAGATGGAGACTGAGAACCCTCACCTCAACTATTCTGGATTAGACAGTGCATCAAGACTACAATCATGTCCTATGTAAAAGAGAAAGTCAACGAAAACATGAGACTTAGCCCCAATTCATGAAATGAAGCCCAAGTGGTACATTAAATGCACTTAGTAAAAACAAAACAGGTGGGAAATAGAAAAACTAATTTAGGGTAAAAGGCTAGAAAAATATAAAGACTTCTAGAAAAAGCATAACCACACAAAAGCAATATAACAGTATGTGAACTGTAACTGAAAAATTAAAATTTTGAAAAAATCATGACTACAATGCAATTATCACATTTAAAAGTTTCAATGATTTAAATTCACTAACAAGCTCCTCAGTGCCTCCATTTCAACCACTTTCTCACATATATTAACATTAAACTGTATAAAATGTTCTATAGTCCTTTCAGTATCCTGTGTCTGGCTTGTTTTACTCAAACTGATTTTGTTTGTGCTTTTCTTTTGGTCTATGTTCCAATAGGCTAGCTTTGATTTACCTCTTTCATTAACTTGTTTTTCAAAGAAAAAGACAAATTAAATAACAGGAAAGGTATTACCTGTAATAATCTCGTAACTGCTTGCTCTCTTCTTTAGGAAGCTATAATATGGGGGAATAACTTCCTGTAGAAATATCACATCTGGGCTGTACCTATTAAAAACATCAACTTATGATGAACACCAAGTATAGCATTTCATCTGCAGCTATCTAGATTAAGAAAATACCACAACATAAAAGAAATACGTAACTATTACCCTCGCCTGGCCAGTGTGGCTCAGTGGATGGAGCATCATCCCATGGACCCAAAGGTCCCGGTTGGATTCCTAGTCAGGGCATGTGCCCAGATTTCAGGCTGGATCCCCATTAGGGGGCGTACAGGAGGCAGCCAATCAATGTATCTCTCCCACATCGATGTTTCTCTCTCTCCAAAAAAATCAATAAAACATATTGTTTTAAAGAAACAAACAAAAAAAAGATTACTCTCTCAGACACCTAACATTCAATGTTCATACTGACCTCTGATAACAATGAGATCTGTGCTATTTAACAAATACTATAAAAAATATATATATGTGACAATACTTTAAAGTTAGAATCAGAATCACTGACAGTAGGAACCAGTAACACTGAGAGCGTAAAACAGTCCTGCACTCTGATGACCACTTGATGTGTGATCACCTATTTCCATCCTCTTGAAACAATTACCATGACGAAGAAAAGTGAGCTCCAGAGGACAGAGTGGCTAACAAGTGATCCACTAGGAACAGCCAATGTGTGACAGACACAGATCTTTTTGGTAATTTAATTCTCATAGCAATAATTATATACCAAGATCAATAAGTAAAATAGCAATAAAAGGCTTCTAACAAAAATCAGTGTTCCTGCCCCACCTCTCCCACAGCTCTGAGAGCTGGGTCCCAGACCTTCAGCTGCTTCCCTCTTTGCACACAGGTATGCCACATTACCACGCTACCCCTTAAACAGAAATAATACTCACTGAGCTAGAGAGGAACACACCCCTCGAGCCCTCTCTTGCAGGTTATTTATATCCAATCCATCGATATTCCAGGTAATGAAAGAGAACATGCTGCCATCTTCTTGCTGAAGATTTCCAGGTGTGCCCCTTTTAGAACTAATGAGATCCGTTGTTTCCTCATTGGTTAAGTCAACACTGGCAAGATCAGAATGAAACACAACTTTGCAAATAATCTGTATAAACTACTTAATCTTAAAAGTACTTCATAAATATTTGTAGCCTTCATTTCACAGTTAATTACATTTAAAAACACCCCAAAGTATCTGCCAGTAGACGAGCAAGTCATGTGACTGAGGGAAATAGACTCTTACTGTGTTACCCAAATGTTTGCTCATTTGCAGTTGGTCAACTCAATATCTTTCCATGACATTACTGTATAAACTAGGACCCAAATCACACTAAGTAATGTGAGATTTCCAAATTTATTTGGATTCATTTTAAATCATATTTGAAAAAAAATCTCACCCAGCCAGTGTGGCTCAGTGGATTGAGTATCACCCTATGGACTGGGAGGTCCCAGTTTGATTCCTGTTCTGGGCACGTGCCAGGGTTTCCGGCTTGATCCCCAGTAGGGGGCGTGCAGGAGGAGGCGATGGATGTTTCTCACGTTGATGTTTCTAACTCTTTCTCTAATAAAATCAATAAAAACATATTTTATTAATTTTTTTTATCCTCACCTGAAGACATTTTTTCAATATTTTGTTCATATAGAGTGGGAGGGAGGGAGAGAGAGAGAAACATCAACGTGAAAGGGACACATCGAGTGGTTGCCACCCACACGACCCAACCAGGGCCGGTGACAAACTGCAAACGAGGTATGTGCCCTTAGTGGGAACCAAACCCGGGTCTCTCCAGACCGCAGGCCGACGCTCTAATCACTGAGCAACCAGCCAGGGCAATAAAAACATATTTTTTTAAAAAAGAAAAAAGATAACATTGTAGCTTGTAAATAACAGCTGCAAATGCCCTATTATTCACCTCACTGAGAGATGAAGAGGTGTCTCACCTCTTGGATCTGGGCCTTTGTGACTTGCATGGCCAATAAAACACAGTGAAAAAGATATTCTGGGACTTCTGAGGCTTGGGCATAAGATGCCTTACAGCTTTCACTCCATTCTTCTAGATCACTCTCCAGGAACCCTGGGCTGCCATGTAAGAAGTCCCACTCCCTGAGGCTGCCATGCTGGAGAAGCCAAAGTCCCACCACCTGATCCCACCTTCCACTAGCTCCACCTGGGTCTAACCGCAGAGCCAGCTCAAGACAACAGAACAAAACTGCAAGCCATGCAGCCCAAGACACAGAGAAGAAATGTCATAAATATGCCCAGAACTCAAGGACCAGACATGACGGGAACCTGAACGCCAGAACCCTTTCAGAAGCACAGGGACCACTGCCCAGGAAGATCTGGGGCTGAAATCCCTTAAATCTAGCCCAGAACCCTGGATGGGGAGAGAGATCTGAGTCCAGACTACTGTATGATTGCCAGCTGACTTCAAAATAAAACTTTCTTCTATTCTCAGAAGCTGGTGCACATCGGGCAGCGAGCCCTTGCTAGGTCACAAGGGCTAAACATTTAAGTGGAGGAACAAAACATCATTAAAATGTGACTGCTAAGCATTTATAGAAACTGCACATAAGTTTAAGAAATAGGTTTTTGAAGTCCTAATTTAAATTAATGTAACGCCAAAATTATAAGTTCCTTTCTTTAAAATTGAGGTATAATTAACATATCACCTTTTATTAATTTTAGGTGCACAACACAGTGATTGATATTTGTATACATTGCAAAATGACCATAATAAATCTAGTTAACTTATTATTTTCTTATGTTGAAATAATTTCAGGCTTTCAGAACTGCAAAAGCAGTAAAAAGAATTCTACTCATCATTCACCCAGATAAATGTTAACATTTTGCATACGTAATGTTTACTTGTTTTTTCTTTATATCCTGAAACATTTGCATGAATATTTTCATATACATTTCCTAAAAACAAGGACATGCTTACATATATACCCTAGTACAAGTATGGAAAATCAGAAAATTATCATTCACACAGTATTAAAATGTAAAGACCTATTCAAATTCCACCAATTGTGCCACTAACGTCCTAACCCAGGATCTGGCACGACTCTCTCCATCTCCTTCAATCCAGAACAGTTCTCCAGTCTTTGTCTCTCCTGACCTTGGTGTTTTTGAAGCACACGGCCCATTTGTATAATGTCCTTCATTTGGGTCTGTGTGATGTTTTCATAAAATTAGATTCAAATTATGCTTTTTTGGGGGGCAGGAATGACACAAAAGTGATAGTGTTTTCCTCGTTGCTTCGTCCCAAAAGGCACCCATTACCCACTCTGTCCTCAGGACTCGTCATGTTAACTCTGATCACTTGGTTGGGGCGTTGTCTACCAGATTCCTCCACCACCCAGTTCCCATTCACCCCCTGCATATTGTGGGTAGGCACCTCGAGGCTATGCAAACATCTTGTTTCTCATCCACTTTCACCTATTAGTTTTGGTATCCACTGGTGACTCCTGTCTGAAATAATTATTACTTTGGTGGTTCCCACGTGGGGCGCTTTCCCTAATCCTATCCTGCCTTCTACATTTAATCGTTGGAATTCTACTATAAGGACAAACGTATTCATATCAATAAGGATTCTTGTTTTACTATATATAGAGGAAGCCTCGCTGTCACTGGAGGAACAGGGGCGAGTGTGCATTTTACAGAAACCACTCTTCCGGCGGGCTGCTCGCGGAGAGCAAGTCAACAATCATTACAGGACGCAGGCGAGCAGCCCGCGGACCCTGTTTCCACAGCGGTTTTGTCTCACTCATTGGTTTGGAACCTCTCGCTTGCACGTCCCCTCTGCTTCCAGTGAAGAAGACATTTCAGACGGTCCTCCCCGGACTCCCAGCCACGCCGGCCTGGACAAGGTGGCCCTGGGGAGAAGCGTGACCCTGGCTGCCGGCGCGCCACCCTCCACGGGGCGCCACCCAAGCTCCGCCGCCCACTCACCAGGACGCGGGCGGGGTCTCGGGGCGGCGCGGGACGGCGCCCTCCTCCGCCTGCGGCTCGAAGTAGGCGTTCAGCGCCCTCTGAAAGAAAAGGGACACGAGGGTGGGCTCGTGCGCGCGGGCCCGCGCCCCAACACCCACGGGACCCGGCGAGCCTACTTCCATCTCCCAGGCGTTCTCGGCCAAGTAGCGCCGCGCCACCGCATCCTCGCAGCTGGCGACGGCGCTGAACTCCGCACACAGCAGCAGCTGCTTTGCCGCGGGGTCCCCGTCGTCGAGCCCCGCCTCCGGCCCGGTCTCTCTGCTCAGCGTAGGGTCCATCGCCACTGCCCTTCACCGCCGCCGAGCCCCTCTGCGCAGGCGCCCGTCGACCCCGTGCTCCCGCATCAACTGTCCGGTGCGGAAACGCTGTCGGCCCTCGGAGGACGATAGGCGCGGTTGCGCAGTGGATGAGTCGGAGGGCAGAGGCGGCGGCGGGGGAGGGAATGTATAAAACAGCGCGCGTGCGCACGGTTACAGCCGGGCCCAGAGGTCAGTGCGCGAGCGCGGGAGGTGGGCCGTGGCGGTGGTACGCGCGTCGCGGACGGACGGCGGGCGATCTGCGTCCTCCGCGTTCTTGTGCTTTTGTCACCTCTTGGGCTTCCTGGCTGTTGCGCGGGGCAGGGAAGCCGGCGGACGGCCCACGATGAGCCTGACCCAGAATCTGCGGGAGGTGATGAAGGCCATCATCGGTGTCCCGGGTTTTGATAGAGTTTTGGAAAAGGTATAAGGCTCAGCCGCGGCCTGTGATGCAGGCACTGCGCTTCTCTCTAGATTGTGTCGCTGCGCCTGTAGTTCCGCTTAGTGGTTACTGAACGGAGCGCCGCCGCGTGTCATGTCAAGGGCATAGACGAGTTCACCTAGTCGTACATAACTAAGTACGGTTGTCACTCGTGGGGACAGCACTGTTCGGTCCTAGAGCCGGAAAGGACTGCAGTGCAACCCTTCCAGACGGCCTGCAGTGCCCGAGGAAGCAGCAGCATTCCGCAGGGTTTACTGCCCAGCGATGAAAGCAAGGCAGCGAACCCAGCTGCGAGGGGGAGGGGCGCACCTAAATGAATTTATGGCATAACCTTATTAATTCTAATAACTCACTAAATTACTTAATTTCTTTCGGTGTTAAAAATTGTTTTAAGCCATTCATTACGAAGTAATTTTAAAAATTATTCTGTGCAAAAACTAGGAAACATCCAAATTAAACCTATAATGAGCAAACAGACCACAGGGACCAAGCTGGCTTTCTTGGTGCAAAATTTGCAAGGAGACAGTAAGAGAAGCCAGGTTGTTGTACATAAAAAAGCTCTAATGGAACGTTTGATTTCTACAACAGGAGTGGAGATTAACAAAGACTACTATTGTTTTCCCCTAAATGTTCCTTTTTCTTTAATAACAGTTTCCAGCCCAACCAGGCCGGTTTGGCTCAGCGGTTAGGGTGTCGGCCTGCGGTCCGGAGAGACCCGGGTTCGGTTTCCGCTAAGGGCACGTACCTCGGTTGCAGTTTGTCCCCGGCCTTGGTTGGGTTGTGTGGGTGGCAGCCCCTCGATGTGTCCCTTTCATATCGATGTTTCTCTCTCTCTCTTCCTTCCTTTCCCTCCCACTCTATCTGAACAAAAAATGGAAAAATGTCCTCTGGTGAGGATAAAAAAATAAATAAGTTTCCATAAGGGTTAACTTCTGTCACAGATCAGGAACATTGATATTCTGAGTCACCTTTTTGGGAGTGACTCAGGTTAGTCCAGTGAGTTTCTGATGGGCTGTGCCAGCTTCTCTAATACCCACAGGACTCATCATCCTTTCTTTCTATTCAGGTGACTCTGGTCTCTGCATCTCCTGGAAAGGTAACCTGTGAGCTGAGAGTGGAGGAGGAGCACACCAATAAGTTCGGCACACTCCACGGGGGGCTGACGGCCACCCTGGTGGACAGCATATCGACGATGGCACTGCTCTGCACGGAGAGAGCCCTGCCGGGAGTCAGTGTGGACATGAACATAATGTAGGTAGCCACACGGCACCCAAGTCTGAGTGCCACTCGAGATCTGCCCTGCAGCATTCCCTAGTCTAGAGCACAGTAGAGGAACCAACTTGCAGGCACATACAGTGTGTACCAGCAGTAAGGGGAGTGATCTAAACATTCAAAAATGCAAACATTCTGCCTCTGAAATGGATGCTGGTGGGAAAATCACCACCATAGAGTCATGGCTTATAAACATTTCATAGTCCTGATGAGTGTTCAGGATGTGTCTGGGCTGAATTAAATTCTAAGAAAAGATGGAGAAACCTCCACGTAGACATTGTCTTCTCCTTGTGACAAGGTGACCACAGATGGGGTGTCTGTCTCCCTGAGGTGTACATACATGCTGTACAGGTTAAACAACATGATGGGGAGCAGCACCCCAAGAGCAGGCTGCCCACTCACTGGTGAGAATGCCTGTAGGGAACACATGTCCCAAGTGTACAGCATTCAGCTCCAGCGCTAAGGAGCACCATTGCCCAGTTCTATCCAATGAAAGTGCAGGGCCCAAGGGTTGAGCTTCCCGACAGTTGCTTTGGCTGCATGATCAACAGAGAAACGATTTTTTTCCAGGGGACTGGCAAGGGTGTGGGAAAGCCAGTGTTACCAGACACGAGGGCGATGAAAATGCAATTAGGATTTTAAACCATCTTAAGTCTTATCAGGCTAACATAAGAAACATTCAGTCCCTCTTTACTGTGGAAATAACTTGTGTGTGCAATAAGCAAATCACAGGGCTGCAGTCGAGAGAGACCTGGGTTCCGTTCCCGCTAAGGGCACGTACCCTGGTTGCAGTTTGTCCCCGGCCCTGGCTGGGTTGTGTGGGTGGCAGCCACTTGGTGTGTCCCTTTCACGTCGATGTTTCTCTCTCTCCCTCCTACTCTATCTGAACAAAAAATGGAAAAATGTCCTCGGGTGAGGATAAAAATTTTTTTTAGTAAATCAAACGGTTTTGGCCTTTCAAAGTATATGTTGCTAAAAGTATCGGCCTTGAGCTTCAAAAAGTGATTCCCTTGAACAGAAAAAAGGACATAGTCTCAAAGATGTACTATGGATATTTCAAAAGTAAATGAATACCACCTTTTGAGTACAGGTGGGTAAAAGTGTCTCTTAAAATATATATATATCACCAGGGTCCTAAGGACCTCATATTAATTCCTTATAGTCCTTTTAGAATTGAGTAAATTCTAAACATTGATATGACAGGATATACTTCACCTAGGAAGTTCCAAAGATTAAATGAAATCTAGAGGAAACTGTCCACCAGCTCCAAGAAAATTTGAAGTGGGAGACAATGAGAAAAGGGGGGTAGGGGCAAAAACCCCTTCCTCTATTTATGGGAAAGAAACTAGCCATTCAAGTGTGAAAGGACAGGAAGCTCACTGACATTGTTACTTATTTACTCCTAGAAATAGTTTAACATGAGAAGGCTGTTTTTCCATGCACATTATTTTTCCTTTTAAAATTACTTGCTGTTAACTGTATGTCAACTTGCTTCCTTTCAAGGTACACGTCACCTGCAAAAATAGGTGAAGTGGTAGAAATAACAGCACACATTCTGAAGCAAGGGAAGACACTGGCCTTTGCCTCCGTGGAACTGACCAACAAGGCCACCGGGAAGCTGGTGGCTCAGGGCACACACACAAAGCACCTGGGGAACTGAGGATAGCGTGTAACCTCCACTAACCCGAGGAGGGGATCGAGTGTAAATGTGACAACATAATCTTACCAATAAATTAGCAAAACCAGAAGTAGCCAAAAAATTCTTTATTGATCGGCAGCCTCCTGCACACCCCCTACTGGGGATTGAGCCCAAAACCCAGGCAAGTGCCCCCTGATTGGAATGGAACCAGCGACATTTCAGTGCACAGGATGACACCCATCCAGTTGAGCCCCACACTGGCCAGGGCAACATATATTTTATGGAAAAGAAGCATAGAGACCAAGTGGGATATTGTGGGGGCGTCTTCATTTTATTTTAAGCCTCTTCAGTTTTAGTTTTTAATCACAGTATAATACTGGGATGAAAAAATTCTTAGCTCAGTGTTTTGAAAACTTGGGCAGAAACTAGCAGGGCCACTTTGAGATAGGATTAAAGACTGAACTTCTAATATTAAGCTAAAGGAGAAACATAAATTAATGGTTTAATGAATTTTAGGTCCATCTCAGCCCTAAAATGCCATCTACATTTCATTTTTTAAACCCGTTTTCAAGATTGTGGAACTTCAGCCCTGGCCAGGTAGCTCATCTGGTTAGAGCATCATTTCGATACGCCAGGGTTTTGGGTTTGATTCCTGGTCAGGGCATATACAAGAATCAACCAGTAATGCATAAATAAGCAGTACAACTTGACGTTTCTCCGTTCCTCTAAAGAAAAAAGAAGTCAAGCCTTAGCTAGTTTATCTCAGCGGTTAGAGCGTCGGCCTGAGGTCCAGAGAGACCCAGGTTCGGTTCCTGCTAAGGGTACGTACCTCGGTTGCAGTTTGTCCCCGGCCCTGGTTGGGTTGTGTGGGAGGCAGCCACTTGATGTGTCCCTTTCACGTCAATGTCTGTCTCTCTCTTTTCCTCTATCTCCCTCCCACTCTATCTGAACAGAGAATGGAAAAATGTCCTCAGGTGAGAATTAAGAAAAATCAGTAAATAAGTTTTTAATTATGGAACTTCAAAATAGATGGACCATAGTCCATGTTGGAAAACCGATTGAGCCACATGAACTAAAACAGTCCTCCAGAAAGCTGGAGGCAAGGCACATGGTGATAGAGCAGTACAAGGAGTGTGCTGCTTTTCTGACGTTAGCAGGACCGGCAACCTTTCCAGGAGAGCAGGCACACAATCAGCACCTTCCTAGTACCTAGAGCCACACAGATCCTGAATCTCCCAGACTCGAGTATCAAAATGACCAAGTTTACAAATAGTTTAGTCCATATCTAAGTTCTACTGCCTACAGCACTCTTAATATTGACTTCTGCTTGGGGAGTGACTAAAGAACTAAGTAAAACTGGAAACGCAGCCCACAGTGCAAGGCTGGCTCTCCTCGGCTTGTCAGCACACCTGCTGCTATCTGCTGAAGGGGCAGTGACTGCAGAACCACGAGCACGAGGCTAGGTAGTAATCCTGGAGCAGCAGCTGATCCCAGGGCTGGGAAGTTGCAAGATGAACATAAGTTGTGCCTTAAAGGGAATGCTCAAGAAAAAGGCATGCAAGCCCTGGCCGGTTTTGCTCAGCGGTTAGAGCATCGGCCTGAGGTCTAGAGAGACCCGGGTTCGTTTCCCGCTAAGGGCATGTACCTTAGTTGTGGTTTGTCCCCGGCCCTGGTTGGTCGAGCAGGTGGCAGCCACTCAATGTGTCCCTTTCACGTCTATGCTTCTCTTTCTCCCTCCCACTCTCTCTGAACAAAAAATGCAAAAATGTCCTTGGGTGAGGATTAAAAAAGAAAAAGGCGTGCAATGTAGCAGTAAAACAAAAGGGATGGAGCCCATACTGTTCAGGTTGGTTACTAATAGACAGGAGGGCTCTTACTTGCAACAGAAAGCAGATCAACTCAGAGGGGTAGATATAGAAATCTCCATCCCATAACTATCATGGTCAAGATTGGTTAGAGCAAAAGGCAAAGAGCATCAGCACACTCCTGATGAACGGCAGGATGTTTGCATGTGGTCTCCCAGAGTGCTTAATTATAAGTGGAAAACAACTACACGATGCGATGCAGAATAAGGACACCACCTTGGACCCATCAGAACTGACATCAACAGAGAGCCAACTGACAGCCTCTGGATGTTAACTTGGGAAGGGCATAAGGTCACTTACATTGGGCTAGAATGCAAAATCCACATCTCACCAGTAAGAAACCAACCAAATGCAAGATGAGAAACTGTATTTTAAAAATGGCCTGTGCTCTTCAAAAATGCTGACGTTAACAAAGGCTGAGAAACTGTCCCAGAGGAAAGGAGATCAGACCTGACAGCTCAGTGCAATCATCCTGTACTGCAGGGGGTGAAAACACTACCGAGGATGTTAGGACAGCGAGCTGAAGTGGAGTGTGTATGTGTTACGTTTCTGGAGTTGGATAACCTCACAGAGGGACACGTGCCTGAGTAAGGGATCGGGAAGCAAGACAAAGGCACGAGGTGCCACCAGACTCAAATTTCAAACAGGTATAAATGTTTGTAGAAAGAACAGAAACAAATGTGGCAAATGTTAAAGGCTAAAGGTGGGTTAAAGGGTACACAGGAGCTTTCTGTTTCACTTAGAACTTTTCAAAATTTATTCTAAAATAAAAACCTAAAACCAACAGCCACTGATATGTGGTGTGGTACTTGTTGAATGTTCACTAACAAGTGTGAGTCAACAGAACAAGATAGTGAAGAGCTTGGGCTCTATGGAGCCAGGCAGCTGGTTATACTCCTACCCCCCATCACCACATGAGCTTAGGCAAGCATCCATTTGTCCACGCAGGGTTGTTAGATGCACTAAGACAAGAGCTGAGAACAAAGTGTCCTTGATTTCTATTCTTGTTGAAATTACAAACCCAGTTTACTGTTTAGCCATGGACTATAACCCACTAAGGTCATCAGAACACCTGCCCCGAGACTAAGAAAATAAAGTTACCACTTCAAGTTTAGTGATTCACCTGAACAGTCAGGGAATGTTCACCTATTTTATTTAGGTTTTCATTTTTTCAAATTCCAACCAGAAGCTAAATACAATTGGAAACCAGTAAGCACTAAAGTTTGTTCCAAAGGAGTAGGATCATCCAGATTTACTCCATAAAGTACGCAACCCTTAAGCAAAGCTTTTCTTCATTTAAAAGAAAAAACAAACAAAAAAAAACTATACAGTAGTCTTTCCTTATGTTCATTGCACAAAATGAGTTCTGCTTTTATAACTTTGACACTCGATGGCTGTTTTTACAATTCAAGATTTCAATTTTAGTAACTTTTTTCTACTCCAAAAACCCTCATAAGTTTTTCTTAAGGATGGTGTAGAAACCAGTATTTCTGCACAATTCACTGGAATTTTTTTCTTTGTAATAAAAATCTCTTATAACCAGAAAAAACAAAAACCAAAAGGAAAGTCCTCTACCTATCCTGTTTCTGCAGCTGTGCACGTGTCTTTCGGTTTGGTAGCTGCTTTAGCCACTTGAGACTGCAGGTCTGCTTTACTGTGTCTCACTGTGTCCACACAGAACACTTGGTAACAGCAGCCTGGGAAAACGATCTGAAAATAAAATACACACATTTATGAGTACCAGGAAACAAACATGGCCCAGTAAAATATGAGGCAATAATGCCTACAGTGAGATGCCTTTTTCGTTTAAGATTTCTTTCCCACGGTTGTATTTTTTGAACAACCACTTCTGGTCATTAGAATGAATCTGACAGTGCTCAGGAACAACAGTGATTATAGCAAAGCTATTGAGTTTTTAAAATGTTATTTTATCTGTTACATTCACTTCTCACCCTCTAAATACTGATGGCAGATGTCAAAGAGGCAAAAACCAGCACAAATGGAAGACCATCGAACATGAGTATCACCTGGTGCTTTCAGATACATCAAGCATTTCAGTGTACATAGTCCTTTCACTTCACATTTTAAAGATGCTGACGCAGTGCAGCAAAGATGCAAAGCATCTTCTTTCACACAGTCCGTGAAGAAGACATCTAATTTTCTAAAGTTCTGAGATACAAATGATTAAAAAAAAATCCAGGATGAACAAGTTTCAAAATGCATAGTGTTCTGTGCATGAGTCCATTTTCTTTAAACTCTGAAAGAATAAAGTGGTGAGAAAACAAGAAAAATTGCCGCTGCACTCTGATCGTCTTCACTTGCTGGTCAGTACTCTACTCGGGCAAGTAAGGGTGCAGGTGATCCTCTATGGTGCCAACTGCCCAGTGGGTGAGCTGTTCCTGGGGCAGGTAGAGGCAGATGCTGCATAACTTGAAGATTGTAGCTTTGTTTTTTGGAGTCTGGAAGGGGAAAAGTTTTAATATTCTTAATAAAGACTAATATAAGTGATCAATTGCCACACGAAGTCAATCTCCCACAATTTATTAAGCACTTACGGACACAGTGACAAAGCAGAGTAAGAGTGTGATGGTTCTTAACCACAGGGACTTTAGGAATTCAGAACTTTGCCATATGAAACACAGAAAAGCAGTAAGCATGACTACAAATAAATGTTTACAGAATGTATGCAGAATAGAAGATAAGTCAACTATTGCCCAGCTAGTGTGGCTCAGTGGTTGAGCGTCGACCCATGCACCAAGAGGTCGCTGGTTCGATTCCAAGTCGGGGCACATGCCCAGGTTGTGGGCCTGATCCCCAGTGGGGGGCACGCAGGAGGCGACTGATCCATGTTCTCTCTCATCAATGTCTTCCTCCCTCCCTCCCACTCTATCTGATGATAAATAGAAAAATATCCTCAGGCGAGGAATTAAAAAAAAAAAGAAGTTAGATATTACCATCTAACTTGGGGCAAATGTGCTGTCTCACGTAACCACTGGTCAGTAAGTGGGAGATGAACCTGAACCAAAACTGCCTCCAAGTTCACCTTCTTTCACTGTAGCACCTCTAAAGGCAGAAGAAAAAACAGATGGCCTGTGCAATGCCTGCAGTTTATATGTAAATGAACATACACATGTGCACATGTATGTTTTCACTGTAAAAGGCACAAAACTATATGAAAACCACTAACTCAATTCAACAGAAAGAATGTGCTCACAGAATTACTAGTCTAAGATCTCACA